ACCAGTGTATCAATAAATCAAGTATAGATGATAAACCTACGCAGTTGATTAATCTTTCTAACGCAAAAATTCATTTATGCCATTGAAACTATTTTTGTTTTGCTGGTCACAGGTCACTTTTACAATTATAAAATGAAAGGGTCCAATCATTGCGCATGCTAAAACAAGCATTCAAGAATTTAAGGTAAAAATACGTCTATAGACTGTATATTTAACATAACAGTACTTGAACAGGCTAACCATCAATTTCCACTAGGGAAAGAAAAGTCCCAAACTATGGACTTCTCTTTCTATTTTGGCAAGGAAACCAGGAAACGTATCAATTATTCTTGAACTAAGTAACAAATGGCAGAATTTGCAACGAACATGAAAAAAAAACACTTAAACGGGGTTGATGTCCATAACTCCGACAGGGTAGCGAGAACACCGACTCAATTACGTCATCTATGCCTGCAATTTGGTGCACATTCATCAGCATCACTTAGAAGCTACGAGAAACTGAAGAAACCTAAAAGGGTGCAATCTGCAACTTCAGGTTTAACAATAATTAGTCATCTGAGTCAGCTTACCTTGTTTGCAATGTTGTTTGAGAGCCAGTCAAGTCCCTCATACAGTCCTTCACCAGAAGTAGCGCATGTGCTCTGGATATACCTGCAAAATGGTATATATAGAAGGTGACGTACATTACAATCCGCATATAGAGAGGGTACGTAAACAGTGAAAGCTTTCATCATCTTACCAATGGCGCTGGCGGAGAGAATGAAGGCCTAGCTTGTCAGTAATCTCAGCAGCATTCATAGCATTTGGAAGATCTTGCTTGTTTGCAAATACTAGAAGCACAGCATCCCTCAGCTCATCCTGGCAATGCACATAGAATAATATGTTAGATTACATCACGAAACCCTGTCCATAGATCAACTCTAGTCATTTCACAAAACATACGCATGGGAAACATTGAGCCAGTAAAAGAAACTTCATTGACCTCATTCAACATCCTGTGCAACTCATCTCTAGCTTCAACCACACGATCACGATCATTGCTATCAACGACAAAAATAAGTCCTTGTGTGTTTTGGAAGTAATGTCTCCACAATGGTCGGATCTATATAGAAAATCCAAGTCAGTAAGTCAGTTGAATAGTAGAGATAAACAAAAACCATAAAGGAATTTTCATTATTCTAAAAGATCTACACGATCAAGATATATTCAATTTTGACCACTAAACATCAAATTTTGCATAGACCTAAGGAACATATGGCATCTGATCTCTTTTATAGACTCCATTTTTCCTATATATTTGGGGGATTATACCTTCATAGTCATTTCGAAATGTGTTCACTGAAAGGCGTCGACATAAGTACTTGAGGAAAAATAAAGTGCTTGGATACCATAATATCCAGGACATCATGAAGCTTAATATCTGACAGTATATGAAACCAGAACTGTCTCATTCATAATATTTCCAGTTTTACAAGCAAGAGCTAAGAATTTACCAAAAGAATATATTAAAAGATACCATAGATTTTCCTTTCCTACAATCTTCAATTGATGGTAACAATTTCCGATACAATTAAATCTAGTTACCTTGTCCTGGCCACCAACATCCCAAACGGTAAAGCTGATGTTCTTGTATTCAACGGTCTCAACATTGAAACCTACAAAAATTTATTTATATCATAATCACCCATCTCCTCCTTGAAACAAAACTTATTTTAATAACAAATATCAAACTTTGTTAAGCAAAAAGCGACTCACCAATGGTGGGAATGGTAGTGACGATCTCTCCCAACTTAAGCTTGTAAAGAATGGTAGTTTTACCAGCAGCATCAAGTCCAACCATCAGTATTCGCATCTCCTTCTTGGCAAAAAGCCGGCTAAATAACTTTGCAAAAGAAAGCCCCATTTTCACGTCTACCAACCAGCAAACAACAAAAATCCAAATATCAATTTCCAGAATCATCAATTTAACTAGCATTATTCAAGATCAAAGAAGATCCAAACCCAATGGTCAAATTTAAAACAAACATAGTATCGTTTGGTTGAATTGATCCAGATCAACACAATCTAAATCCAATCAATTACGACATAAATTCAATTCGAAAAATACAGATCGGAACAAATTAACAAACTTACGAGGCTCCAAGACACAGATCAGATAAAACTATGCAATGAATTACAAATTGAAGAGACTGGAGACAATTTATAACAAAATTGAAGTCAAATTTTGAAAAAAAAGAAAGCAGATCGGGAGAGATAAGCTAAATTAGAACATCATAAAGTTAGAAAAGAAAATCTTCATTGGTTTTGGGAGGAGAGAGAGAGAGTTACCTGAGAAAAATGCGAGCGATAAATAAGCGGGTCGAACGAAGGAGAGAAGCGAAGATCTACACCTCTCTCTCAAAATCAAAGGAGCTATACTTCAGAGTTCTAAAATAGAGTTCGCAGCTTGTGCATCTATTGTAGTTTGACGGAAGGCCCTTGTTTCTTTTTACTTGTATTTTCCGCTAAACTCTACAAGTAATCACTCAATTATTACTAAATTCTCATTTTGCTACAATATTAGAAAGGGAAATTCTATTTAACTAGGGGTTCACTTTTTGGTTTTAATCGAATTAGTCGATCATACCGAAATAATTTAATTAAAATGGCCGGTCACCAAATTAGTTTGATTGGAGAACGGTTAGTTTTTTTATATTCGGTTAATGGTTAATTCGATTCTAAATTGGTTAATTCGATTTTAAATTGGTTAATTAATCGAATTAACCAAAAATATTAAATAAATTTTATATATTAAATACATATTTTAAGTCAAACTCATTAAAAATTAAGATTCAATTATTTTTAACTACACTAGACCCATTAAATTATCAATACCTAAATAAAATTTTAACCCAAATAAAAAATGCATCTATTAAACTCAAATTAATTTAACTAAAAAAATTAAAAATCGATTAATTCAATCAAATTAACCGGATTTTATTTGGTTCAATTAATATTTTCAAAAAAAAAGTTTGATTTGATTAACCATTAAATGTTTTTTTTATTAATTCAGTTAATAGAAATTTGGTTCATCCGGTGGCCGAATTAATCATTTGAACACTTCTATATGTATGGATCCTAACGAAAGGGGAAAAAATAAACTCCTTATTTAGTTATGAAACTGTGAGATTAATGGAACTCATCATCAAGTGGCTTTAATAGTAAAAGGGGAGATTATTTTTCTTAGAAATTTTGGGTTCGAATAGTTATGTCTACATGGTATGTGTGCGTTATCAATAGATTAAGAAAGTTCTTAACTTATATTATCTTGTAATCACCCCATACTATTAAAAAACTTATTATACTAATGAAAATAATTAGGAATGAAGTTAGAATATCAACGTGAAAGGAACAAAATACGATTGAGTGAGAAATAGAGGGAATAATTTCTGTTTAGTTTATATTATTGATTGTTTTGTGTGAAAGAGAAATGGAGAATTAAAAAATTATTAGTTACAAAATTATATAAAATACATTATAGATATTTTCCATTTTTTAAAATATTAAAATTTTCATATATTTATTTTAATCTTTTTAAATTAAATTTTTATAAAGAATTTTAATAATGCTTTGAGATTTGTAGAAAATTTCAAACTTATTTTAGAATTATAGTTAAAAATTATAAACTGAACTAAATTCATATTTGACAAAAGTTAAGGAATCAAATTAAAATTTATTTTATTATTATTTTAAGTCATCAATTTAACATGGATTAACATTCCAATGACCATTTTATGATTAATTGATAATGTAGGTGATTATAAAATAATAATTGGAAAGTAAGTGATCTGAATAAAATAAAAAGGAAACAAAAGTGACATATTGTGTAGTTTACCCATAGAAGAAATAAAGTTGAAGTGTTGGACAGCTGATTTTAGGCGTTGTAGTCTGTCAGTTGAGGCTAGGTTGGGTGTTTATTGCTCATTTTAACTGAATTAATTGATAGAATTGAAATTTAATTTTAATTAATAAATAAGTAATTAAATATTAGATTAGTTAATAGTTAAAAAAATTTAAACTTTGGTTATATGTTAATTCATTTTCCAAATCATTAATTAATTAAAAATATTAAATATTAAATATATTATATATGTTATGTAATATTTTAGCTTAAACAAGATAATAATTAATATTCAACTATTTTTTAATCACATGATACCCATTAAATAATTAAGACTTGCTCAAATTTCAATCTAAATTAAAAAATACATCTATTAAACTCAAATTAATCAAATTTAAAAAAGTTACAATAAAATTTAGTTAATTGAAAATCAATAAAATTAATCAAACTTTATTCGATTCGATTCAATTAATAATTTTTAAAAACATTTGATTCGATTAATAATTAAAATTTTAATTAATTTAATTTTAATTAATTCAATTGGACGGATGATTGAGTTAACGTTGCATGTAAATGGGTCTGCAGATCTATGTCAAGAAAAGAGAAGCATGTAAAAGGATTATTTGGAGCTGATAAAAAAACCCATGTTTTTTATTCGAGTGGATGACTACCAAATAAAACAGACGGCCCAAGATTTAGTCCTGCTTCGAGGAAATTCAGGTTTTGTCAACGACCTAGCAGGAATGTACTGAGAAATGCTATTGAGATTGATGAGCGTATTAGAATTTTATAACAGAGAAATGAATTTACAAAATTTTAAAGAAAATCAAACTTGTAAAATTTTAAGAGGGTGAAAACAATTTTTTAATGAAAAATACAAAAAAAATATTTAAAATATTTAAGGGTGCCTATTGCTCCCCTCGATTCATCCCTAGCCTTCGGCCATGTGATGATAAGTTTAATGTACACTCAATCACATGGGAAACTTTTGTAAGGAAACATTCGTTTATTAAACAATTTCCATTTGCAAGTTCATTCGACTTTCTGAACTAATGGATAGATCTAAAAAATCGAGACAGAAAAGTCAATACCGGCAAAATATAGTCTTTGTATGTCAAGTCTACCATCTGCTCTCAGTATCAAGAACCATAAAAATGGATACTGGATGGATTTCTAAGAATTTGAAATTGATTCTATGGATTTGGGTTTTCCTTGTTCTTATTGGTATTTCAGAGTGCAACCTGGCAGACCCCTTATAATCAATTTCGGTGATTCAAATTCAGATACCGGAGGAGTATTAGCCGGCACTGGACTCCCTATTGGGATTCCTCATGGCATCACATTTTTCCAAATAAACTTTCTGTTGCATGCATTAGTTTTTAGCCTTTTGGTATTCAAGTTTGTGATTTGTTTATGGTAGGTGAACACTTGAGTTATTTGAGCCCATATTTGGACTCATTGGCTCCAAATTTCACCAGTGGAGTGAACTTTGCTGTAACTGGTGCAATGACTCTGCCACAGTTTGTCCCCTTTGCTCTTGATGTTCAAGTTCGCCAATTCGTTCGCTTTAAAAACAGATCACTTGAACTCCAAGCAACATGTATGTTGATTTTCTCAAAACTCCCTTTGATTCAATTAGATTGTGGAACCAATGAAATTTGCCTCAAATTCAGTCATTGTTGCAGGTTCCGGAAGTTACATGGATGAAAAGGGGTTTCGCAGCGCTCTATACATGATCGACATCGGACAAAATGATCTGTTAATGGCATTGTATGCATCAAACTTGACATATGAACCGGTGGCTAAACAAATCCCTTCTTTTCTTGCAGAAATCAAATTAGCTATCCAAGTGAGTCCATCTCATTTCATCAAACTAAATTCGGGTTAGTGTCGAATTAATGGTTTCTAACAAAACCTTCCTTGTTTTACACCTACAGAACATATACTCGTATGGTGGCAGAAAATTTTGGATACACAACATCGGTCCATTAGGATGTGCACCGAAAGAACTCGCGTTGCATCCCCACACAAAGGCTGATCTTGATAGAATCGGATGCTTCCGTGTCCATAACGATCTCGCGAAAGCATTCAATCGAGGATTGAGTGATATCTGTAAAGAGATGAGAACTGTTCTTAAAGATGCAACCATTGTCTATGTTGATGTATACTCCATCAAGTACAAACTCTTCAGCAAGTTCAAAAAATATGGTAAAGTTTTTGCCTTTTTTCTTTTCGCTTGGTGTTTTATCATTTTCTTTTGTTTTATATGTTAAACAATGATGTAGGCTTTGAGGATCCATTCATGGCGTGTTGTGGCTATAGGGGCCTCCGAATAATTACAACCAAAAAGGAACGTGCGGCCAGTCTGGTTCAACCATCTGCAACGATGTGTCGCGATCGATCGTCTGGGACGGAGTTCATTTCAGTGAAGCTTCAAACCGAGTGGTTTCGACCGCTATTTTATCAGGCCATTATTCTACACCACAAATGAAGCTCGAGAGCTTTTGGCAGGCTTGATAAACACTCTTGTTTAATCATGTTAAGAACAAATAGTTCGTGTCCAAAGCAAGCTGTTGGTTTATAGTTGGTTGATAGAATCAATCATAACATTTACTTTTTTTTTTTTTACTTGTGGAATTCAAATATCATTTGTATGGTTCGACTTAGTGGTTGATTGCTTTGTAAAAGATAAATGAGAGTCTAGTGGAAGGTGGATATCAATTTAGACTTGTCTATACAAAACAGTACTGATCTTAATGGTCATAGTGATAAAAAGTAGTAATGTTTTTTGTGGATGCAAGGAATTATGTATTGGTTAAAAGTGACTGATCCAACTGGTAATTTCAACAATGCTGTATTGAAATTTTGTACTAATTGTGTAATCTCGATGATAAAGAGGAGTGTTGTGTTCTTTAGAGATTTATAGTTCCAATAACTGTATATGTTTGTAGGGTATATATACATTGTCAATAAGCTAAAATTATATCTGAACAAATACTATCTTATAATAACCTTAGACTAATAAAAAAATTTGCAATTCAAAGTGTTATTTATGCTTATGTTACCCTTTATTCTTTATCGATATATATGATTAACACATAATTTGTCACTATACACACACACATATATATATATAGGGTTAGATACATTTATATAATGTAAAACGCTTTAGTTTTACCTATATTTAGGACTGTTGGATGAGTGAAAATATATTGTTAAGATTAACTCCTTGTAGTTTTTTCCTATTGAATATTTTATCATTTCTTACTGTTAATCTCAGTAATCTATTTTCACTCATCCAACGGTCCTATATCTGTGTAAAACTAAAAGAGTTATATATATATTTATTATTTTTTTTAGAATTAATATTTATAAAATTATAAAATACATTTATGTTTAATAGTACTTTTAAATGTTTTCTTCCTAATAATGATTGTGTATAAACATTCAAACAAGAAATGTATTTAAAATAAATCGAGTATATTTTAGATAAAATGATACATTTGTATTTTTAGGGTCCTTTTATTTTAAAAGGGGAGCAAATTCTTAAAAAAAAGTATTTAAATTATATTTTGAACAAACATATAATTATATTTTCTTACATTCTTAGATTAAATAATGAGTGAAAAGGTCTTATTAATGTCTTAAGCACGGTTACATAAAAGTATTTAAATTAAGTGGTAATTGGTTATTTTCTCTCAATAAAATCGTTTTTTATATCAAATATGCATTAATTCTTTATTAACATACTTTAATATTTTATTTGTAAATATGATATTTTGATACATTTATAACTGAATCATAAATTGGTTTTGTTAAATAAAAATGTGATGTTGTTTTATATAAAAAAAATCGATAGAATAGACTTATTAACAGTGGATGTGCAAATCACGTTGGTTCTTTTCAAAGTAAAATGACGTTCTTTTATTCAAGTGAAATATTTCAGGGTTGTTTTTTCAACAACAAAAAATCACTCAATTTAGAATAAATCAACTAAAGCTCAATAAAAAAAATCATATTTTAAATGTCGATTCGAATTTGTAGACTCCATTATTAAGACGATGTATAAACGATTAAGTATAAATTTTAGACAATACGAGTGTGTTAATCGTTCCTCACGCGTAATCGATTCCTGAACTCTTTTCAAAATGAATTTTTGGTTACACATAGAATAATTTTATCTTTTTAAAGATTTTTTTTATAATGAGACAGTTTTTTAGGTATTCGACTTATATAATTTAAATATCGATGACATATCCAAATTAAATTGATCAAAATCTAATTTCTTAAATAAGTAGTAAACTTAGGGGTTGTTTGTTTATCTCTTAATGGAACCATTCAGCGCTGAATGCTGAATCGTTTAACATTCAGCGCGTTTGTTTCGCACCTCCGAATGATTCAGTGCTGAATGATTCAGCACAGAAGTACATTCTGAATGATTCATAACCAGTAAACAAACAACATGTCACATTCAAAGTTAATTCATCCAGAACCTCTAAATCATTCAACACTTAATTATTCTGAAGTAATTTGAAAAGAGAAAAATTTAAAAAACGTTGCGACGACCACATTAGCTAAAAGACATCGGTCGAGGGGGGCATCATCCACCAATGCCTCAACATGCCGAAAAAAAAAAAAAAAACAGAAGTAGGTAAAACAAAAAGAAACGAGGACAAAAGCCTTCATGGACGGCCATAAATACTTCTACTCAAAAGAATAATCGAATAAAAAGTAAATGTCAATATTTTACTTAAAAATATCAAAATTACCACTATTGTATTGATTGATATAATATTTGTATTATGATATTAGTATACTATTTCAGGTTTATCAACACGTGTATTTATTGTCTAATTTATAGTTTCTCAATAAAACATATATACAATTACCACCCATCAAAGTCATCTCACTGGTTGCAACAATTAAAGTCTCTTCAGCTTCAAATATTCACTTTAATTTGATAACTTTTATATGAATTTATTGTGCGAGAAAACAAGTTAAATGAAAATTTAATGATGAATAAATCTTGAGAAATAAATTATTTTCGTAATTTGTTTAGAACCCACGTGCCGTTGATTCAGCAGAAGTAGCCAATAAGCGTGGTGCCTTTTCATGTTCATGCTGATTATTAAAAATATAATATTACCATAACAAAATATTGATTATTACAAACAGCCAGTCATTTTGTAATTATACTTTTAGTTGTTATTTAATTTTAAAATGTATGGAACTAAATTACTGCTTGCTTTAATTTCAAATATTAGCAATCATTATTTTAGGACCCTAGACGCCTTTTTTTAAGTGTTTATACCGTTTTTTATAAATCAAATCATTTTTTAATTTTATTTAATTAGATATCAATTTTAATGTTGATTATTAACCGTTGATTCTTTTTTTTAATAAAAATAATTGTACTTTTGTGACATGTTTTTCTCGGCCTTTATAAATTGTTTTTCGTCTTTTTTCGGTTGTTTGACCGTTCTTTTTATTCTATGTTTTCTCATGGTTGGATTTGAGGACGTTACGACTGATCAAGATGACACTTATTTGTAATATTGTTAATCTTTCATGCTATGGACCATCGGATTGATTTTGGATATACAATTTTGCGTTCGTAGATAGTTTCTCATGACTCTCGGCTCTTTTTTGTAGTTTTCGATGATCTTTCAATAACTTAATCTCTTTTTGTGGTTCGTTCGTCGTTGCAGTCAGATTTATTCATATTTATTTTTCTTTCGAGTCTTTTGATTGGGTTTTTAACATTTTTCATGCGTAGCTTTTATAAGATTTAAAGTGACTAATTTCAATATTATAAGAAAATGTGTAAATTATTTATTTAATTTACAGTGATAATTATAGACTCTTATTATAATTTTGAATATTTTCATTTGCTAACAAGAATTAGCTTATTCTATTAAAAATGCATGGAACTAAATTTTGATCTTTCAGGTTTAATTTTTATTCATTTTAAAATTTAGCCAGTGTTTGGAGAATTTCATATCTATGAACTGCTTTGATGAGCTCATGAAACAGCAAGTGGCAAAGTAGTGTTTACATGTGGCTGATGCATGAAATTGAATTTAAACATACAAGAATAAAACTTCACCTAAATCGAAAAATTGAATTTTTAAAATTTGATAGGATTTCATTTGTAATTTCGTAAATTTATCTCAAATCAATTTTTTTATATTCGAGTCAAGTTATAAAATATAACTTGAATAACTCAAACTTTAGTAATTAATGGATTGATTTTCAATGTCAAAGAGTCCTTCAACTCTGTATATAATATATCTATATCGCATATGAAAATTGTAAGAAATATATATATATATATATATGAAAAATGTAAGAAATGTAAGAAAATTGTTTAAACTAGAATCAGATAGTATTGTAATATTATAAATATTTATAATTAAATTTAAATAGAAATTCGAATATCTGAATTTAAATTTCACAAATTTGACTTGGCTCGAAATTTTTTTAAAATAAAATTTGAATTACAAAATAAGACTTATCAACTTAATTAACTCGAAAATTTTCGACTTGATGTAGTACTCACCCAATCTCAATTTGCATTTGCTTCGAAAGAGAAATATTGCATATGCATTTGACTTTCTAATTTAATTTATTTACCAAATTAGTTGTTCGCAGCACATGAACGACAGAGACGATGAGTTGGATTGTGATTCATGGGTACGTAAATTCAATATAATATATATTATACTAAAAACTTTATTAATTCTTCTTCTTCTTTAATGTTTATAAAAATAAGTTGGTTTGAGTTTAAGTGTTTGACTAATCAAATTACCAGGCTTTCTCAAAGCCACAAAACTCAACTCAGATCCATATATGATGGTTTGATAAAAGGGAAACTATACGAAGTGGATTATGTACCATATTCATGCACATATTATAACAGTAGGAGCGATTAGAATGACGATCAACTTCACTCTATTTTTCGTCTGTTTTTTAGTTATTTATGTTTAACATCCGAATATTTATATAATTATATGAATTTCATTATATTTGATAATTTATTTCATGTAAAATATATTTTATTAGTAAGAGATGATTATAAAATAGTTATCTATTTAAAAGATTTTAAATAATTTAATATTAAATATAATATATGTTCGAAAAACTCTAAACCATTTGAAAATGAGTGTTCAAATATGTCGTAGACATCATGCTCAAATCTGAAATTTTTAAAAATATTATCATTTCTTACCATTAAGATTGTTTAATTCAGGTATTTAATATAGAGTATTAAATTATTGAAATGAATTAAGAGTTGACATGTCCACCAAATGAACCCACTTGCAAGTGCCTATATATTCGGATCCTTCCTTTCCTCCTCCTACGCCCATACATTGCATCTAAGAAGCTATTCAAAAGCAAACGGTGCCTTCTTCTTCAATTCTCTTCCTCAAACACAAAAGCCAAAAAAAAAAAAAACTCCCAGTTTGATAGAATACTGGGTTTCCTTTAATGTTTATGTCTTCCCCAAACATAGAATTATGTAATTTGGTGTCTCTCTTTTGAATATTCGGATCCATCATCTTTGACTTTCTCTGCTCATTTCGTGGCGAAAAACATGAACATCGTCCACCACCGCTAAATCTTTTATCTTTACTTTGGATATCTCAAAGACATGTAATTTACCAGATATTCCTGAATATTCTCAAGAGTCTTTTTTTTCTGTAGTAGAAGATTATTGAAGGAAGAGGGAACTAGAGAGCCAATTGTTTAGAGTTTGAGATAGATAAAACTCACCATGGAGGAAACCTTTGTGCCTTTACGAGGCATAAAAAATGACCTGAGAGGCAGATTAATGTGTTACAAGCAAGATTGGACTGGTGGCTTTAAAGCAGGCTTCAGGTATATATATATATATATAGTATTTGCAAAAGTATTATGCTTGAATTTTTTAAGCTGACGACTCAAACTGTGTTCTTTATCACAGGATTCTGGCACCCACCACTTACATTTTCTTTGCTTCTGCGATTCCCGTCATTTCTTTTGGTGAACAACTTGAGAGAAATACTGGTATTTTAAACACTCATCCCCCACCAACAATAATAATCCTGAATCTCCGTTTTTGTTGCATGTAGATTCATATGTTGTAAATATGCAGATGGAGTTCTCACGGCGGTTCAAACCTTGGCATCGACGGCACTTTGCGGTATCGTACACTCGATAATCGGAGGTCAACCCTTGCTGATATTAGGAGTTGCTGAGCCAACTGTCATTATGTATACATTTATGTTCAACTTTGCTAAAGACATACCCGATTTGGGTCGAGACTTGTTTCTGGCATGGAATGGATGGTGAGCTGTTAACTCTACTTTTATTTTTATCAATAATTTAGCCATAAAATGTTAATATTATCTGTCTGCACTCCAACAACAAGATTCTTCAATTACATATTTTATGCATTTGCTGCTATATTTGACAAAAGTTGTCTGCTTTGTAGGGTATGCGTGTGGACTGCAGGCTTGTTGTTCTTACTGTCTATCTTGGGAGCTTGTTCCATTATCAACAGGTTTACTCGTGTGGCGGGCGAACTGTTCGGTCTGCTTATAGCTATGCTGTTTATGCAGCAAGCTATCAAAGTAAGAACTATTTTCATCATCTGCTGATTATGTTCTACTATAAATCACACTAGATTAAAGTTGTTTTTCTTGTAAAAAAACGTCATATACAGGGTCTTGTGGAAGAGTTTCGGATTCCGCAACATGAAAACCCCAAATCGACAGAATTCATACCTTCGTGGCGGTTTGCCAATGGGATGTTTGCCTTGGTTTTGTCATTTGGCCTTCTTTTCTCCGCTTTAAGAAGCCGAAAAGCACGGTCATGGCTCTACGGGACAGGTTCGCTGAGAAGCTTTATAGCAGACTATGGTGTGCCACTTATGGTACTTGTGTGGACAGCCGCGTCTTACATACCTTCCGGAAGTGTTCCAAAAGGAGTCCCACGTCGTCTCTTCAGCCCGAATCCATGGTCCTCTGGTGCTTATGAAAATTGGACAGTTATCAAGGCATGTTTCACTAAGTTCAATTGCCAATCAATACTGCATATATATAATCTGTCTTCTTATAAGACTAATAAACTGACATAAAGAACATGACAAAAATGACAGGACATGCTAAATGTTCCGGTTGTCTATATTATCGGAGCCTTCATTCCGGCCACCATGATCGCAGTGCTCTATTACTTTGATCATAGTGTAGCATCTCAACTTGCTCAGCAGAAAGAGTTTAATCTGAGAAAGCCATCTTGTTACCATTATGACTTACTTCTTTTGGGATTCTTGGTATGCAGCTCTTCCTATTTTATTTCCTTAATCTAAAATTTTCCCTTCAAACACTTTGTTTATTTGCTTGTTTCTTGGTTGCAGACATTGTTATGTGGTCTTATTGGAATCCCACCAGCAAATGGGGTCATTCCGCAATCTCCGATGCATACCAAGAGCTTGGCTACTCTCAAACATCAGGTATAGCTCTTGTTTATGCCCTGAGTAGACGAAATCGGTGCAGTCTTCTTTTATGATCGACAGAGACTGATTTTTGTTACGGTGCAGCTGCTTCGTAATCGACTGGTTGCAACAGCACATAACTCTATAAGAAAGAATGCTAGCTTGGGACAGTTGTATGGAAATATGCAAGAAGCCTATCAACAAATGCAGACGCCTTTAGTTCACCAGGAGCCTGCAGCTCGGGTAAGATTGATATAGCGGCTTCCTGACATAATCAAGCATGCTTGATTAACTAATGAAGTAAAATGATATAAGATTTTGAGTTCACTAATTGTACTGTTGTGAGCAGGGACTACATGAACTAAAAGAATCGACCATTCAAGCTGCTACATGTACAGGCAACATCGACGCCCCAATTGACAAGACTTTATTTGATATCGAGAAGGAGATCGATGATCTATTGCCAGTTGAAGTAAAAGAGCAGCGTCTCAGTAACTTGCTTCAATCCACCATGGTAGGAGGATGTGTTGCAGCAATGCCAATCCTTAAAATGATCCCAACTTCAGTCCTCTGGGGCTACTTCGCCTTCATGGCTATCGAAAGCTTGCCGGGTAACCAATTTTGGGAAAGGATCTTATTGCTCTTCACCGCACCAAGCAGAAGATACAAGTAAGATACTCGAAAGACATTTACACTTATAATTTAAACTATCCATTGTCTATCTGATATAAACGAAGAGATGATTTTTTTCACTTTCTTCAGAGTCCTGGAGCAGCAACATGCAACCTTTGTGGAGACTGTCCCGTTCAAGACAATTGCGATGTTCACCATTTTCCAAACTGCTTATCTGCTCGTATGTTTCGGCTTAACCTGGGTTCCGATCGCCGGTGTTATGTTTCCTTTGATGATCATGCTTTTAGTTCCAGTAAGACAATACATCCTGCCCAAGTTTTTCAAAGGGGCACATCTTTATGACTTGGATGCCGCCGAGTATGAAGAGGCACCTTCTTTGCCATATAATCTTGCCACAGTAAGACAGATACTCGTCTCCTACAATGAAACTTTCCCCATTTACCATTACTTTATTGATCATTTAAACTTTGCCTTACAGGAGACAGAGCTGGGACATGGAGCATCCAATCCAGGGGACAGAGAGATACTAGATGAAGTCATTACAAGAAGCCGAGGCGAATTCAGGCATACATGCAGTCCTAGAATCACTAGCTCCACCGCTACGCCTGCAAACGACATGAGAGGCCATCAAAGCCCACGCCTCTCATGTCAAAGCCCGCGTCTGAAAGGCGAGAGAAGCCCTCGTGCAAGTGGAAAGGGGTCACGGTCACACAGTCCAAGGACTGGGGAACTAAAACCATCTAATCTGGGGAGGAGTCCTCTTAACCCAGGATCGTATTAGTGTTGAATATTTCGATAATATCTGTCCGTATTGAAATGTTTTTTTTTTTCATTTCCCAGTCTTTATATCTAGTGTGTTTGATTGGCTTGGCTTAGCACTGTTGTAAATTGTTCCCTCTTCCTTCTTCAAAATCCCAACTTCATATGTAACAACAGATTCCTTTTGTTGTTTAACATGTTTTTTGCTTGGAAGTGTTTGCTAAATTTACTAAAGACCAGATGATGAAAGCTTTCCATAATCACCATTCCTTTAACTAAGAACTGTCTTGTCATTACCTCTAAAACAAAAGCAACAGAAAGGGTTCATTTTTCCTGTACAACAAAAACAGAAGACATCATTTTGAAACACCAGATTGAGATGAAAAGATGGAGGTTTTCAGGAATAGTTTTGAATGAAAAGAAAAAGCAATGGCCAGAATTTGTTTCCAGGCAAGCATCGAACCGAACTGCAGATATGGACGGCGTGGTGTTGTTTTCAAAAGCATTGACTATGAAGCACAACATGGAATGATTTCAGTATCATTGTCTTTTGGGTACAGTTTCAGCCAATAGTTCAAATTTTGATTTTTACTATTTAAATCAATCGACTTTTGATCCTTTATCCAAAAACATTATAATGTTAAAGAAAACCCAGAAATTTGGTGATCTGAGTTTTAAGATTGGGCGCATCAGAACAATGTCATTGTAAACATCAGTTAACAGCTTTCATATGAACCACATGAAATCAATCCTGAACAATGTTGTGGCTACTGAAAATTCTTCCTTTATTTGGAGACTCGAGTATCATAAAGGAAAGGAAACGGTAAATCCCATCAAGAATATATACTCATAAGATTAAAACAATTGAGTTTACCTCGGTCACTGTATGGTTTAAATCAATCAAATTTGTTGATAATGAAATAATTCGTATATGCACATCATAAAATGAAGTTGCGGTTACAAAACATTTTTTGCGGTTACCACAAGCTTTTCGTCAACGGCAGCCGTGATGGTCTCCTCCCGCTACTTCCCTGTTATTTTATTTTTTTAATTGATTGCTATTTTATTTTATTAATTTTTAGTTATATTTTAGTGTATTTAAAATAATGTTTTTTCTTGAACATTCTTTTAGTAAAGGATATCATAGTTACTGGTGCTTTTGAACTCCCGGTGTAAATTTCTTTCATTGGTCTTCTTAGAGATATGACATTATGTTGGTTCTTAGAGATATGTGTAAGACGGGACTATAGTTAAAGGATGATTTGTTTTTCATTTGTTCACTTTGGATATTCCTCAGGTTTTCCTCCTCTATGCTTGATGTTTTGGGACGTCAAAGTGATCCATCTCTATATGTCGTTGCCTCAATTGTTTATGCTCTTGTTCATCAGACTATCATTGGTCGATCACCATTACATTTTGCTTATGGTAGACATGTATGTATTTGTCCTGTATGCATGTGGCAAGATGTTGTTGATGATGTTTTATTGGACTAATGAATATATTATAGTTCTACTAAAAATAATAAATATAAGGGAAAACTACATAAATGATCTTTAAACTTTTAAGACGCTTGTATTTTGATCATCAAATTTTTTAATTAACTACTATAGTCACCGCCGTCGGCTGCCATTTTAAAATTCCAACAAGACACTTCAACATCCTTTTTCACTTCTTCCCTTTGTTTCATCATCATCCTAAACAGCAATGGAAGAACCTAATACAGTGAAAATGATGTTTAACCCTTTAAAACCTTAGAAATCAACATTTCACTTATTCTCTTTGTTTCATCGTCAACTTCAGCTAATAACTTGAATTCTAACTCTAATCCTTATAATTTATTTATATGGTTGATTACTACAAAAGAAACTTTTTAATTTATTTTTAATCAACATAAAAAAGAATAATCTTTATACTTTCAATCAAATTAGTTTTTCTATTTTTCTCAATCAATTTGAGTCAGATATCGGATCAAACTCTAATAATCTACCATTTGACACGAATTCTGAAAGTGCAATGACTTGAAGACAATCTTAAATTCAATGAAACACCTAAATTTACCCAAAAAAAATTAATTATTTGTCTTGAGGGACAAATTCTCCACATTGAGAACATATTCTTCATATCTTTTATAGAACCCTCAAAAATAAAATGAAATATGATATTAACAGATTATTACTTTTTTTCATCAATTAATTTAATTAAAAGAAAATAAAAATTCAAAGGTAAAAGAATATTAATAAAAACTAAAATGATTTTTTTCCTTAAAGGAAAATTAAAGATCACTAATTTTATTCATATTCATTGTATACAATATTGCAAACGCTTTGGTTGGTGCTAAAAAATAGTCTAAATGGGAATAACATATTACTTTGGCTAAAAGTAATCTTAGATATAAACTAAAGTGCTATGATACAAATTTTCTCGAAAAAGATTGTGACAAATGTGATTACTCGTAAATTTTTTGACCCGCTTACTTGTTTTTATGATGATGTTGTTGACACTTTATTTTAGCATTAGAATCATCTTAATATTTTTTTAAAAAAGGTAATGAATGTTTTTTTCCCTTTCGATTTCTTAAAATTTTGTCCTAACTAATTCATATTGATTCGTGTCATACACTTAATTTTGATGGGTGAGTCTCTTAGCGGTAATTTTCTACATACACAATGCTTCAAACTCGAGGCATGCTTAAGCTATATCAAGTTGCTTACCACTTGAAGCAATCTCGTTGATTAAATTAAAGAATGTTTTTAATATTGATTAATGGAGTGTTATTTTTAAAATAATAAAGCTATTTTTTTAATTTAATTTGTTTATTAATATATAATTAATTTATTGAAGAAAAAACATCTTAATAAAATGAAAAGTTATAGTAGAATATAAATGCCTAACTCATGGGATGACAATCAATGAAATACGTGGTATATCGACAATAAATATTATTTTAATTGTAATTAATATTAAATATTAAATATGGTTTTTAATAACCCTTCTCCTTTCTTATAAAAGAAATAATAGGAATTGTATGGACTTTTTTTATTATTTAGAAATATAGGTTATCATTCGATGGATTGATAAAATAATGTCACATTATTATTATTATTATTATTTTGACTACGAAAGGAAACAAACTGGAAACAATCTAAAAAATCACAGTGACCATTCGCACTAGGCATCAGGTCTTTCCTGCAAAAGGCTATGGAAAAAAGAAAAATATAAATATAAATAGAAAAAGAAAAAGATAGGCACAAAACAGGGATAGAAGAAAAACATACCCTCAATTCATTCCTTCATATGTTTTGTTTTCATTGATCTTAATCTTGTTATTATTTTACATTAAATTTTTATCATATGTTACAAATAAAAATTTATCAATTAAAATGTATCATGTGGTCCTTCTAAGTAAATATACTTGAATTGAATAAAGAAAAGTAAATAATATTTTAACCATTCATAGTTTTTTATTTAGTTTAGTCCATAACTCTAAATTAACCCCTATTTGTTTCTAAATTTTATAATTTTATCTAATCCAATTAAGTTCGTTTTTCGACTCATTTATAAGTTCGTTTATTATTTTATTTATAAGCTTGTTTATTATCTCGTTTATAAGTTCTTTTACTTGATTCTCATTTTTCTTTTATTTTTTTTACATTTTAAATATCGGTGAAGATATGAACTAAATTAAATATAAGGTGAATTTTAGAGTTCACATTATGAAACCCAAGGAACTTAAAGACTTCCTTAGGACTAATAGTGTAATTTCACCATTTTTCTTTTACCCACAAATAAAAGAATAAAAAGAGAATATTGGTTGTCGAGCATTAAAGAAACGATAAACAAACATGTTAACAAACGCTAAACGATCATATTAGCGAACGTTAAATAAACGTTAAACAAACAAACACGAACTCAATACTGAAAATTTAAACAAACACATGAAATATGAACACTTTAAAAAATAAATAAACGAACACAAACACAACTTTATTCGTCCAAACTCCATTCATTTACACACCTATTACTCGCCTTAACCCCTTTATTAGTAGTGCAATCAATATTAACACCAATAAGATTCCTATCAACATCCTCCGCATATTACGACCTATTCCCACCTATTTGGTCACACTTTGAAATTGTTTCGAATTAGCTTTTGTAACAGGTTCTTGCTTATATTTAATGAAATATTGGCCGTCAGTCGAAGACAATGCTCTCTTCAATGCTTCTCTCTCTGTGGTAGGCTAGCCAATTATGCTCAGTCTGTTGTGTATGCCTAAAATTAAACTATGGATTGCCCTTTTGCTTTGGTACAAGACTGAGCCCTGCTTGAAACCAACATAATTAGACCAGGTAAACATTATATTTTTCAGTTTTCACATTGATTGAGAGTGATATTTTACATCAAACAGCGCCTGAGGCAATTTAGTAATTGAACACGACCATGTACACGATGTAGTTAATAGGTAACGCTTAGAATAGTATTGACAACATTTTGAATTATAATAGCAGACAAACTCAAGTCTCCTTTCTACAAAAAGAAAATGTAAAACAAAAGAACACATGTTGGTAAAAAAATAATGAGAGACCAAATAAACAATGAGGGTGAAAAGTGCAATTAACTCGGCTCCCATACGATATTATCTGTAATACACCACTAGAGTTAGACCGCCATTTCTGCAAGATGCAGACATCAAGAAGAAACAACTTGCCTCACAATCCAAGAAAAGCACATTGCTTCCTCGCGTGCTCAGGGATCAGCTTCACTAGCATATCCAAGGGCACTCCCTTGAGTTCTGAAAATGATATGGCAGGACAGCAACAATTATCAGTTGCTTGGTTCGATAACAAATCTGTAAATTAGTATAAGCATCAAAGCAGTATAGTCTGTTTTGTACCATGAGGCTTGAAGTTGAATAGGGGAGGAAGAAAACGTCCATTGGGTAGGCGGGTGTTAGGATCACGTAGCTCATCAAAGAAAGGATGGATCAAAGCCTCCATCTGTATGGAAAAATGAAAACAATCATCATAACATAGTACATATACATATAAAGGAAATATCTAGCAAAGATTAATTGCACAATCTATGACATCTCAGATCTAAGCCCCAGAAATCATTACCTAAATATGAATACAACGTTTAAGGGAATCTCATACTTGAATTTTTCCCCATTTAAAATGAAGAAAAATACAGACCACAGAGAGAAAACAATAAGAGAGATGGTAACCAGTTTGATACTTACAGCTGTGCTACGAAGGTTAGGAGAGTACTGCAATAATCGAGAAACAAGATCCACAGCTTCTGGAGGCATGCGGTTATGGAATATCTGGTTATCAATGATACATTGATCAATATCATATATTAGACACCAACTATTTCACAAAGTTAAGAAATGGCATGTCATCTCAGCCCCACTACCTTGTGCCATGGGTGAGCTTTAATTTGGGGAAATTTGAACTCCGTGTAGTTAGGATTCATGCACTTTATTTCTTCTCTTGTTGGGGTACCTAGAACCTGCATCGCAATCAAACAAATTAGGAAAAATATATAAAAAGAAAAGGTAATCAAAGCATAAAGAAAATTAGGATAAATCAGAAATCAAGTGTCTAAAATGTCAGATTTAAGAGCCAGCAATAAGGAAAGAATTTGGGCCGGTTAATATCTTCCATCCTTCATGATTACTTTAGTATTTTCCAATAATGATCATGTTAAAACAATTAATGCGGATTTTGAACCAAAATTTACCTTAATAATTTCAACAAGCTGGTCTACTCCACTCTCACCGGGAAACAGAGGCTGAAAAGGGGGAAAATAGTTAAGTATAAAAAGAGAAATTCATAGTCATAATTAAAACATACAGGCAAGAAAACTATCAACCTGTCCAAGCAATAGCTCAGCCAAAACACAGCCAGCAGACCAGATGTCAATGGCTGTGGTGTATTCAGTTGCACCAAATATCAATTCAGGAGCTCGATAGTAACGAGAACAGATGTAAGATATATTTGGTTCCCCTTTTACCTGGAAAAGTAAAACCAAAATTAGACCTATGAACCCTTAAATTGAGTCTACCCCCCCCCCGATAAAAGGTTTAACATTTTAATTTGTACATACCAAAGCTTTTGCACTCCCAAAATCACACAGTTTTAGCTGGTGGGTGTGTGGGTTGACCTGTCACAAGAGACCATAGTATTAATGAGTTTGTACTCATAAAAGTATGAACGAGTTAATTACTACATAATGATAAATAAACCCAACATCACATGCAAACAAAGATAATATGGGTAGATTAAGTCATTCCTCAATACAAATAGCAAGGCACATTTCCACTCGACAACGAGGGACGAGGTGACAATATCATTAAGTAAAAAAACAATAATACTGCTATAATTTTAAAGACCCATTCTAATTATATTTTTGCACTAGCGAAGCTCCTCAGCATAAGTTTCGATTTTACACTATAACATATTAGCATGCATGCATTAGAATGCAAGATTATTTTTTTTCCTTTGCCAAACTCCTGGTGATCCTTTTAGATCATTAAGGTGAAACACCACTGTTTCTGGACAATGTTTCTCAGCTAATCGTTAAATTTAAAAATTGATAGAGCTGCACTAAAACACTGATAGAACAATTGCAGCAAGGTGCTTGACATTATACCAATAAGTTTTGAGGCTTTATGTCTCTGTGGCACACACCAATACTGTTATGAATGTAAACAAGCGCTCTGCAAATCTGCATAAAGACAAGAATAACACCAGTTCAGTGTAAGGATTGCATACAAACATGGATTTATTGTTTATAATAGATAGAAATAAGATAAAAAAGAGCGACTGTTTAACCAATATCATACCTGGTAAAAATAGAGTTTAACATATATCAGTGACATCCTTTGATTCATCTTATTATAATGTTTGATAACACGGTGGAGAGTTTCTGGAACATACTCGAGCACCAGGTTAAGATAGAGCTCATCTTTTTCAGTTGTGGAAAAGAAACAATGCTTCAAAGAGACAATATTAGGGTGGTCCAGGAGGCGCATGGTTTGCAATTCACGGTTCTTGTATCTCTTGTCTTGAAGAACCTTCTTTATAGCAACAGTTTCGCCCGTCTCTAAACATTTAGCCTGAAATGCCACATAAATAGTTCAGAAAAAACCTCAAACTCAACTTAGAATATGAAATCTGAACATCTTTCAGATGAAAAAAATAATGAGGGTGAAATAAATCTGCACCTGGAAGACAACCCCAAATGATCCATTCCCAACAACACGCTCAGCCATATAGCTTATTGTCTGAAATGATAGACAGATTAAGTTACAGAAATATAAACAAACAACAATAAGACAAAAAAACTCCATCAATTGAGGAGAAAATTATGAACTTGACCTAACCTGCTTCGGCTGGCCATTTTTACCACCAATAGTGGTGACAATTATATGCCCTGTTTCAGTTCCATTCCCATCAACAACGATTGCTTCCATTTCCTGCAGCATAGTAACAGATTTCGTAAAACCAATCTAAAATATAGTCAATCAATTATCGAAAGAAACAAACTAGAAAATTAATAGCATACCTTGTCATCCCTAATTTTCATACCATTCATTTCATCAGGCAATCTATCAACACCAACTGTATTTCCACTATGTTCTCTTACGCCAGAAGAAGGCGCTATGCTAACTGAAGCCATTGGACTAAACTAAAAGCAAAATGAGAATCTCACAGAACCTCTGTTGAAAACAACCTATTTAAACCAGCAAAACAAGTCAATAAATTACCTGTAAAACACAGAAAGAAAACGGTGTCAATGGTACCCCCTCAAAAGAAATCAGCAATGTCACACTCAAATAACAAATAACAATAAACAGCTACAAAAATACCCAATCCTCAGGGAAATTCAATAAACTAGTACATACAGAAAAGCACATTTTCGGCCACAAATATACATGAAGTTAGATCAAGCAGAGATCCGTTTTGTCTTAGTGCACTAAGTTCATCATAGTTTATTTTACACATGAAGTTAACAGAGAAAAACCCTTTACTCAGAGAATAGAAGTTTTTTTCTAAAAAAAGAAGAAAGGAGATAATATCCGAAGCCCTAGAAGGAAAGAAGGATCTAAGATGACGCAAAGACGAAACGAAATGTAACAAAATCTTGATCCGACAGCCAAACACAACAAGCATTAGAGTCACAAGAATAAGGAAAGAAGAAACTAATTACCGATCGGGTCAAGAAATCCGGGGAGAAAGAAGAGAATCATGAATGAATAATACGGGCATAGGAATCGGATCTTTAACGGTGAAATGGCGTTTTTTTGGAGTTTACTCAGATGAGGGAGCTTTGAGCTTTCTTCCTGGGAGGGTGGGTCAAACTGATGAGCCCTAACATTTATGGTTACTTTTAAGTTTTTTTGTTTTTAATTGCTCGAATTTCAACAGTAAGTAGGCCATTCTTTTTGACCGTTCAAACCATGGGTGGCCCCACTTTCATCTTTCTTTCACTCCAAACTATTTCCCTCGTCTTTATAAATCTGTAAATCCGGTGAATTTATTAGTGAGGTCCTTATTATATACTTGTGATTATTTGTTATTTATTCATTAGTAATAAGTGTTGATTAACAAGTTACAACTCTTACGGTATAATATTATTAAGAGTTAAAATAATGGTTTTTATCCGTAATTATTTGGTTTAGTAGGTGAGATGTAGATATTTTAAGTAAAGTTCAGAGTTTAAGTCCTAATGTTTGTAAGTAGAATAAAATGGAATAGAAGGATTATCCCATTTTTTTTTTACAAAATTTGATTCTAAATAATCGACCAATAAATCAAATATTAATTGTTAAACCTAAAAAATAATGGTTTTTTTTAAATTTGATAGTTATGATCATATCTGGAGTTACAATAAACTTAATTCACATATCGATCTTAAATTTTTTCTGTTTCGTTGATGATAACAATGAGTTGCAACGATTACATGTGATTTATATGGACAAAACTAGGATCAAATATTAAAGGACTAAACTATTTTATATTAAAAAATAAGATTTTATTAAACATTTAAATCTAAAAACTGAAAAGAAAAAATGTTTTATTTAAATAATATTTAAACTAAAAGGGCCTAAAATGACATTATATCAAAAAATTAGGGAGGGATAATAATCCTTCTCAACCCATTAATAGATTTGTCACTAATGATTCACCCCTTTTAGTTTAGACAGAGAACTATAATCGATGAGAGAATGGTCGTTAGTCGATGTTAATGTTCTATATCCCCATGATAAGATAATAGAGAAGTGAGTGAAGATGAAGTGGTTCCATCTAGGTTGTTTCCTCTCTGAGTCTTGGTCGAAATGTTTTATAATGACTTTTAGAGTTGATGTTAGGTGTAAGATTATTATGGTTACACATATAATAAGAGACCAAGTGGATATTGTTAGATGGCAGTGGATTTAGCTTAGATTGATCTAGGCATGTCCATCTATAAGTGTAGTATGTAACACATCACATAGCCTCAAAATATGATGCCCCCTCTTTCAAAAAAAATGTCACGATTTAACTTTTAAAAGCGTTTAAAGAATTGCATTTTTTAACTAAAATATCACGATTATATATTTATTTTATGATATTGTCTTAATTTCATATGTCTGATTTTTTTGTTAAAACTAGTCATAACTCATAATATGATAAAATTTGACATTTTATGGTTTTACTTTATTATAAAATATTTTTTAAAAGTTTTCATTTAAAAAAGTAGTAAAAGATTTAAACAATTTTTAGTAAAGTATAAATAGATCATATAAATTAATTAAAAATATGTTAACAAATTGTAACTTTTTAAGAGAAGTTAAATATACGAGACCTTCCTAACGAAGATATTATCCTTCTATCTTTCGAGTGTCAAAGATTTATAAATGCATGTGGGTCTTCCTGAAGTTATAATATGTAGGAATAAAATGTACAGTACCTTTGACAGAATACAATTGGCTTAATCCGAAATATTATGACTGGATCATTGCTGATATTCATCAAGCTTTTTTGAGAAAACGTTTCAATTATTAGGCTTAACTGTGTCTTGTGTTTAATAGACGTTATTTATAGAATTATTGGTTGATTAATTAATGACGTTCCTCATAATTTTCGAGACTGTACAGAGAGATTGGTAAATAGGCGTTCGTTAGAAACAGTAACCAAACCATCATTGAATATTGAAGTCTACCTTTAATTAAACCCTCGTCAAATTAAATTTATTATAATTTAATTGTAATTGTTCCCTTTACAATATTAGTTTTAATTTTAGTTATTAATCTAAAAACCTCAATCATTTTTATTTTTTCCTCAATAAATAAAAATATTACTATCTATAAATTCATTAATAAAAATACTTAAAATTCCAATTTATTTTTCTAAAACCTCATTCACTTTATTTTTATTTATTAAATAATTTTACCATAAAACAATTAATATATATACAATTTTACTAATAAAAATACTAAAAACTTAAAATTATTAAACAACAATTAATATTAATTTTTGAAAAGAAATTATGAGACTTAATGAATTGTCTATAGTTTTATCTTCTCACGTAAAACTGAAATAGTATAGTATGTACTTTTAATACAAGTTTGAGTGAAGGGGCAGATTGTCAAACCGACTTCTCATTATTTTATGGGGTCATATTAGGTACTGCATTCATGATTGGACCTTAACACAATATCTCTTGGAATAGTTCAAGGGAAAAAATTTTGTAATATAAATTGAATCATCTATCCGCCTGATATGGCAATTTATGTGGATTTTTTTTAAATTACGTGTTCAATTAATATTTAGGTTAGAATAGGTGTGTTTTAGTATTTAAATTATTAATTTTAGTTTATTTAAGTATTTAAACTTTTATTTTTTTAAAATCATATTTAATATTTATTTTTTGTTTTATTTTAATATTCGATCGTTAAAAACTTAAAAGGATAGGCTTGTCGACCGTTGCATCAATCGGTCGATGAAACCCAAACTTTCAAGCTCGTATCTTTTTAACCTCATAAACATGATTTCAACATTTGTTTCACTGAAAAATGTCTTAATCTTCCCAAATCGATGATGGATTCTTCGATTTCTTCATCTAATCTCCATGGTCTACCATCCGATGGGCCTGGAACTGGACTATGTTGGTCGACTCATCGTTCTCTCGTAATCTATCATTCAAATTGGTCGTTCGTATGTTGAAGCTATGTCACGTCAGCTTGTCTTGTCCATTAAGTTTTTAAATACGGGAGTGCTAAATATGAGAGTTTAAGTACTAAATGCATAGTTTACCCTAATATTTACATTTAATGTGAAGAAAAATTCTTTAAAATATATATTACTATAATACATTTATTAGTTGTGATATCACGTAGTACCTCATTTGGGTAGATAGATGTCACATTGCCCTAATTCAAGCCGCTTTCTAGTTCCTCGTATTTTTCTTAACATGAAACGTACTGGAAATGAGGTAAAGATGGTATTTCCAATGAGAAACCTTATAATTAGTTAATTATATTCCAAAACCCCATGTCGCGTGGCAGTGGATAAAGATGAATGCTTTTGTAGATTATCCGAATTTCGAGTTATAAGTTGGGGGGAAATATTAGGGTAAACTTCAAACCTATCCCAAATATTAGGACAACAATCATATTATCCAAGTTAAGATTGAATCAACTGTCCATCAACCATGTTATTCATTATACCGTGTTTTTGGTTTAGAAAAACAGTAACGTTTTTAAAGAATATTAAGTAAAAAAAACTATTTTTGTAATTATTTAACTTTGGTTTCAACAATTAAGCATATAAACATTGCTTTCCCATGTACTTTCATTGTTACTTTAAAAAAACAAAACAAAAACACAGTTACAAGTGAAACTAAGCCTTGTTATAACCAAATCTTGCTACTTCTAACGTATTCAACTTAATTATGTCTTCTTTATTAAGCTGAATTATTTCTCTCTTTGCAAAAACGAAGCCTACTCCTTTTTATCATTATTAATCTTTTCTACACGCCATTATCCAATCCACCGGTTGATCGATTAGTGTGTTTCCAAGATCATAATCAAGAACCAGAAATGGACGACAGCTGCGCAGTGTGTGCTGACAATTTAGAATGGGTTGCCTACGGCGTCTGCGGTCACCGGGAGGTGTGCTCCACGTGCGTCATTCGTATCCGCTTCATCTGCAATGATCTCCGCTGCTGCATCTGCAAGACTGAGTCCAATGTCATCTTCGTTACTAAGGTTAGAGGATTCCCTCATCCCCTTTTGCCTCCTATTCGTAATTGTAGCGTTAGATATCGTTTTTTGTCTGGTTTAGTTAGCTATTCTTTGAACCTCTTTATTAGAGGATTATGATCACCACATCTTTGGTGTTTCTGGTTTTCTTCCAGGCTTTAGGGGATTACACGGAGAAGATCAAGAACTTCTCTGTATTTCCATCTCAAGCAAGAGAAGGACGCGCAGGTTCATACTGGTACCATGAAGATACGAGATCCTTTTTCGATGATGTCGATCACTACAGAGTGATCAAGGCAATGTGTAGACTTTCATGTAATGTATGTGACAAGATGGAAGAAGATCAGTCCCGAGATGGGGTGAAACGACGGGGGAAGTTTAGAAACATTGAACATTTGAAAGGTCATCTGTTTCATATGCATAGACTGGTTATGTGCAGCCTGTGCTTGGAAGGACGGAAGGTAAGGTTAATATGTTTGGCATTATGTAATTGATGTTTGCACGCAATGATTTACTCACTGGTCTTCTTTTGGCGATGTAACTGTAGGTTTTTATATCCGAACAAAACCTATATTCTAGAGCACAGTTGAATCAACATTTAAAAACTGGTGACTCCGAGGTGGACGGAACTGAGAATGAGAGAGCTGGATTCATGGGGCATCCAATGTGTGAGTTCTGCAAGACTTCATTCTATGGGGAAACTGAGTTATACTCCCACATGTCCACAGAGCACTATACATGTCATATATGCCAAAGGTACCGACGTATTCCCGGTGGCGATTTTTAAGATACGAGTTAAAACAAGTGGACTTATTTTTTCATGTTCATTGTTGAATGCAGGCAGCATCCAGGACAATATAATTATTACAAGAACTACGACAACCTCGAGGCAAGATGGATTCTATGTTATGCTTTCTTTCTTCTTTTTGTTTTAATGGTAAATGGAATTCTGAAAATTGTCTGCTGCAGATTCATTTTCGCCGAGATCATTACCTATGTGAGGATGAGGCTTGCCTTGCCAACAAGTTTGTTGTCTTTCGGTCTGTAGCTGAACTGAAGGTAACTTCTTGGGGCATTTAAATTTTCTTTTTCTTTTTGAGTTTTTGAGTATTTCCTTAGTATAGCTCACCTTTTATCTTTTTTCATATTCATTTTTATCCTTTCAGAGGCATAATACCATTGAACATGGAGGTCTCATGTCTCGTGCACAAGTATGTATCATTCCTCTAATTAATACACTCCAGATTAGTTGATTTTACCCTCATTCACTGATATGCTTTCATTTGTAGATGGCTTGTTTACTTCTTAGTTGCTTTGTTAGTTAATTGTAATGTTTTTCAGATGCCAACGAGCTTTCAATATCGGCAGAGTAACGAAGATTATCGTTACGGAAGGGGGCGAGTGTTTCGGCCTCAGCCTAATGGTAATGACTATCAACTGTCAATGAACAATGAGGCAAGTTTGGAGACAGTCAATGTTCCCTCGGCATCTTCTACAACGGATTCTGAATCATCAACATATAATCGAGCATTGGGGGTAGGCTCCATGGTTGCACATTTTCAAGAATCATCTTTTCCTCCACTCCCCATAGTTCCCGGCACCAATCGACAAAATTCAGAACATAGCTCAGAAAACAGCACCAAGGAAGCTCGCCTATGGTGCCAGAAGAATGGGAAGAAAAAGAATTCGAGTTCAGCTCAAGCATGGGTAGCAACAAGTTGCAGGCCTACGGAAGCATCAAGTAGTTCAAGTCAGAATGGTAAAACAACAAATATTGCAGCTGCTTCTTCGGTTGTTACCGGTAATGCAGTTGCACAAATGAGCTATGTAAGTTCGAGTCATGCTCAGACTCGGACTCACTCCTCAACAACGGGTATATTAATAACATCTAGTTCTCAAACGAGCTTAGGCAAAGCAAGTAGGATTCACCACTCTTCGGCAACTCCAAATCTTGCTAATGGTGGATACTCGGAGTCAGAATCATCTGTTTCTGCAGCACAAAGGCACAAGCAGTCCTCAAGCAGTCGGGTTCTGAGGATCGTAGAAGAAGTTCGTACAATCAACAAGTCTTTGGCTGAAAAGGTGCTGAGTTGCTCTTGAATGTCAAAATATATATATACATTACCTTTAAAGAAATATATGGACAATATGATCAGCGCTGAATAGGAACAAGTTGTTCTTGAGCTAGTTAGGCCCTGCCCTGATGCTCAAAAGCAGAAAGAGTTAATTGAAACCTATTTACAAAGTTTGAAGATTTTCATACAGGCTTCTGAAAGTTCCTGATTTGTGTTCATAAGTGTTTTTCTTCTTTTTCTTTCTTTGTTGTAAATAATTCATCTGCTTTTATAGATAATTTAGCATTGATATAATTAAAATAAGAATTTAGGTTTAGCATCAGGGTAGATCTCTGCTTTTAGCAATAACCGGCTAAAATTTGGTTTCAAAATTAAAAAGTTGAAGTCATTTAATCAGAAAATAGTATTAACTCATATGACTATCGTAAAAATGTTAATCGAGAAACAACAAAACCTAAACAAAATAAGGTTGACAATATAAATCGTTATATATTTTATTTCATAGTAATGATCAACGTGCGGGGATAGGTCAGTTGGGAGAGCGTCAGACTGAATATCTGAAGGTCGCGTGTTCGATCCACGTTCACCGCATTTAATTTTTCTCCTTCTAACTGAGTTAACTGTTAAATCTTGTCTTCCTTCAAAAGGCCCACCAATATGGTGGGGTTAAGCATTTGACAATAGTCAAAGTGTAGGCCTTCGTCCAAGTCCAAATATAAAGATGAAATCCAATTTTACTAATGGATAATAATATCTATATTAAAATAAATATTTTAATTTTTTCCTCGTCTTCCTTAAGTAATTTTTAATATCGATACATCTAAACGGAGAATATTAACTATTAATATTCGTAAAAGCTCTATACTTTGAATTTTGTTATCTAAGCTGTTTAATTTGATGTTTTTTTGTTGTTACTAAACGATAATATATATTTTATTTAACTAATACTTATTTAGTTAAATTACTTCATAATGATTTAAATTTGATACGAAGCACGGCGATAGTAATGATAAAAAACATTAATTAAATAATGAAGATTTATAAATATTTTGTGTATAGTTTACTTATAACCATCTAATTATTATCTCTTTCCATTTTGAACACCAACCCTTTTATTTTGTCAATCATGTCATTTAATTATGTAAATGATATTAATAAAGTCATCTACCGTTAACATTTAATATATGAGTTAATGTGACAATTCACAAAATTGATATAATTACATATTTTAATTTCAATAGCTATAGATTTTATCAATTTGTTCTTAATTTTAATTTAATTCAATAAATTTAATTAATTTAATTTAAAGTGTGATTTTATAATTTAATTATTTTTTTCTTCCAGTTGATCTCAACGTCACCGTTCACATGGTCCTTGCTATATACCCCTACACCGTTATAGATAGCTGTGGTGTTGTAGGGTGTAACTAGGGATTGGCATGCGACCCGAATTTGATGGGTTCCAACCCGACTGATCCGATCGGATCAGTTTTTTTTAAATTCGGGTTCGGGTCGGGTTCACGGCGAAAAAACCGACCCGACCTGACTCGAAAAAATATATAATTTTACCCTATATATTTATGAATAATTACAATAATACCCATTTATATATTTTTTCAATTAAGTTACTATTTTTATTAAATAAAAATATTTTATTATTATTTCGAGTCAGATTTTTAAATTATATATCGGGTCGGGTCGGTGAAAACTTGTTTTGGTTGGGTCGGGTCAGGTCCCGGGTGGAGGACTCCTTGTTCTCGGGTCGGGTAGACCAAAAACCCAACCCATGCCCATCCATAGGTGTAACCCCTGATAGTGTGGTGTTGACTATTGAGTGCTACATTTATATTTTAATTTAGAGATCATAATTTAAATTTAAATTTAAATTCATAATTGTTAGAAATTATGATTGTTGTAAAACACAAATGTCATATTTACTAACAAGTAATAATAAAATAACAAGAGAAATAAAATGAATCAATTATGCCAAGGTAGAAGAATCTGTCTGAGAAGTAATTTAAACAGAAAAATATCATTGAACACAAATCATGTATCCAAATCTAATCCATGAATATAAACAAAAAATCGGAGTTAAGCGACGTGAGAAAACTATCTATGAACGCAAATTATCTATTCAAATATAATTTGAGGTCCAAAATAGAGAAAATCAACATGATAACAAATAAGTGACATCTTGATCAGTTGTGACAATATCAAATTTAATCTTAATAATAAAAATAAACAAAAAAGGGCCAAATGATCACAAGTATCAAAATGTAGAGAAAAATATGTCATAAAGATAGAAAAAAATGTGTCATAAAACATAGTAATTAATAACCTAAAGAAATAAAGGGAAAAAAAGTAAAGATTTGATATAAGAAAAAAATAAGAAATACTGACAATGATAGACAACATTAAGACCGGCGTCGTTGCCTATTAATTAATAATAAAAAAGAGATTGACGGCTTTAGGATCTTTTTGAGAGAAAATAATAAAAGATTTTAAGACGGACATATTTTGAAGAAATTGATTATCAAACAAATTTAATAAAAGAAGAAATTGGAAAACATATTCCCAAAATGAAAAATAAAATCATATTGTAAAATTTTTTAAACTTGAACAACCTCATCTTCGTTTGAGAGACCACTTTTCACATAATGTGGTTGAATTGAATAGATACGCCGTCAAGCAAGGAGTGCGTGTGCCTTTTTTTCACTCTAAAATTTTGTACCCTCCCCCAAGAAGAGAACAGGAACCGGGAAATGAATTTTAACTGACAAGTCATCTCACCAACTACCAGAAACCGTCACGTGGCGGTTATCCTCCCAAGCTTTTGGAAAATCCCGCATGGTTCCACCAACTCCACTGGGCTGTCATGGTTGGTGAAAGTGTGAACCAATTTGGTTGAAGAAGCAAGGTAATGTCAAAGTTGACCTGAAAGCTGTTGAAAACAAACTCAGCAACCAAAATGGTGGGAATCCAGTAAGTAAGAAAGTAGAGTAGAATATACAACACAAATTTTTTGAATCCCTTTAACACTAAACTCTAGCTTCCTCCTCTCCACTTTCTGATTATATATGTATACATTAAAGTTATTTGTCTCCGTTTAAGGTTAATCAAATCTCCACTATTTGCTAAAATTACAAAATTTCCAATCAATCTATACGAGGGCAGAAAATAAGAATGGACACATCATAGATTTCTTACAACCACCCACTGTTCCCTATCACACTTCAATGAGTTTCAATCATCAAAAATAATTGTGGGGTGAGAGAGGCTCGAACTCTCGACCTCAGGATAACTCAGAAATATTAGTTTTGTTACTTCTCTACTAGTTAACCACGCTTCTTTAAAAGTCTTAATTGCACAAGTGAATCTCTAAAATGGAAGAAACAAAAAAGGATTAAAGGTGTAAAAAAGCAAACACAAGCCATCGACACCTAAGAAAATAATGTTAGAACATATTAATGTCTTTTATATTTAGAATTTATTTTTACGAAAAAGAAAGTTGGCGAGTCACCCAAGTTTACAGTTAAAATCCATTTTAAAAAAAAGACCAGTTCTTTTATATAAAATAAGTGTTGACACTAAAAATTAGGGTGAAGTACATATTTAATCATTTAACTATGATTTTAATTCCGTTTTTGTTACTTAATTATTTTTTTCAAAATCTCCCTAATATTATTTTTGATTTCATTTTGACCATCCGCGGTTAAAAATTAACAAAACTATCGACATGATTTTTTTAATGACGACATGACATTATTTTATTGTAACACATCAATATCATCGTTACTTTTTTTACGGTAGGTGACCAAAATGAAACAAAAATATAACATTAATAATGATTTTGAGAAAAATAACTGAATGACTAAAATGAAACAAAAGTGATAGATAAATGACTAAATATGTAATTTCCCTAAAAATAATGCATGAAGTGTTTATCAATTTTTTCAAAAACAGAAACCATAACATTAAGGCTTAATTAAATTTATATTATCAAATATTAAATTATACGCGTGGCCTTAAATTTATACTTTTCTTTCACATGGGTATTTGAACCTTTTTTTATATTGACTTATGAAATTATATTTTGTATGATTTTTTGGCAACTTCTTAACAGTTTATGGTACGTTTAAATTATACACGTCATCACTTTTTTTAATATATTTTTATTTTTTTTATAAATTTAAAAATATTTTTAGTAAAATTCGGATATATTTTTCTTCTTCACCATCATCTTCAATGAGCAATGTTAAATAAAAGCATCTCTATAAATAATATATTTAAACTCAATATCTCTAAAATAACAACCATCAGTATAACATCTCTTATGTTTCACTTAATTCGTATTTAATTTTACTACGTTAAACAAAAGGAATCAAAATGTATGTCTTTATCTTCCACCAACCCCAAAACCAAATCCTCACAAGTTGACAATCCCCTGACATCCAACGGCTACATTTGGTCTTCATACACTCTCATATCAGCCGTCCGATGTTGATTTCACCAAACTCCTACCTAATATAAAAAATACAAAAAAAATACAGTAATCCACACCGAGTAAACCAGTACCCGGTAAGCCAAATTCGTTTTCTCTATAAATGGCCGAGTTCCAGGCTAGATTCATTGTGCCGTCGAGTTCCGCTGCTTAATTGCTCTGGTCTGCTCAACACTCTTCTTCTCTCTTAGACTAATACTCGATCCGCCGCAATTCTTCATCACAGGTTGCCTCTTTCTACCAGTTTCTTTTGTTCAGAGATTTTGCTTTGTTGTTTGTGGTGGCAGAGGAAAATGAGTGTTCTCATTTTGTATTATTTGTTTCTATCTCGTTTTATGCTTAAGTTTTGGTGAAACACTTGCAGATCTGGGCGGTTTTCGTTTTGGAGTTTTTAGTGCGTATATATACTTTTTTAAAGATGCGGGATTTTGAAGTTCGAATATGGATTTTTTTTTTATGGAAGTTCTACTGCAAGAAACTTCATTTCCTTTGAACTTGATATTGTTGGTCGATGGCTTAAACTTTGATTGGATTTTCCACTGAAAAAATAATTCTCTTTTGAGTAGGATCTACTGGATCTGCAAATTTTACATCATTTTCGATCT